GTCATTTTTCTCTAAGTACTGAGTTGTTGAGCCATTTTTGTTTTTTTCTGAGCAATGTACAGTATTGAACATATAGTATTGTATTACATAGAATAGAGCCTACTAGCAACCTTGCTTAAGAGCACACTTTGAAAGAACAGAGGATGGATACAGAGTCCACGTGTAGAGTCCGATTATTGGTACTTTCGCTCTGTTGTGTTCACCTGTGGGAACTTTGTGCCTCACCACCATTTTGGAAGTGCACTGGTCTTTGAATCAGTGTGAGATCAGAATTGCGGAGCCTCTCGTTTTCTTACCTGTGTGCAGAGTATGATAATGAAATAATCGCTTCACTGTTGTGCCTGCTGTGTGGTTTTCTCTCCGACTGGATTTGTCTCTTGTGAGTTCTTTAAGACAAGTTAGTCCATGTCGCATGTCCAAGGGTCTGTCTGTCCAACCGTTTTCTCCTCTAACAAGCCCAGTCCGACCAACCAGTCACAGACAGGCCATCACACGTTCGACTCCACAAAGGGTCTCTTTGGTTTGATGGGGGATGTGGGGCCTTGGGTGCGGGAGTCACGCGAGAGCTGGCGGTACATGTTGTCCTGGTAGGCCTGTGCCACGGGCAGAGTCCTCGCCACCTTGACGTCCGGGTAGGTGGGCACCTGGCTGACCCGCTCCAGGATGTCCCCGCTGCCACGGGAGCCGTTAGCCAGTTTGCCCAGAGAGGGGGGCTGGGGCTGGGTGTAGTAGTCCTCCTCCAACAGGTGTCCATTTTGGGCGTTGTTAGTCTTGTTATAGTAGGCGATATTTCCCAGTGAGGCGGGGGGGCTGTAGGTGGAGCCTTGCTGGACGAGTTGGCCAGGCGAGGTGGGGCTAATTGCAGAGTCCATGGACGTCATGGCCCTGGACCGCGAGGGCTGATGCAGGTACTGCTGAGTCCGCGCCGTCTTGTCTATGATCCCCATGAAGGGCGTGTTCCGAGAGCGGGTGGTCTCGCCCTGATACAGCCCCCCGCCGCCCTGCGAGGGAGAGATAGGAGAGATGTCATCACAGCTGCGCTCATATGTAGCTTGCAGGGGGATCTCCATCTGCTGAATGGAAGAAGAAGGCCTGAAACCCGGCGCCAAATTGGAGGTGGATCCAGTTGAGATGTTGTTGCTGGAGGGGGAGAATCTAAGGCCTACGCTCTGAGAATGGATGAGAGGCCTGGGGGTGGGCACATGCTGCTTCAACTCAGTAGTATTGGCACTGACGGGGCGTCTCACCATATGAGGGATCTCAGGCGAGCCCAGCTGACAGGGAGGCATGGCATTGGCACGCTCCAGTACGTGTTCAGAGACCGGGTAGTAGGCGGCCGACTGGCTGCGGCTTATCTGAGGTGTCTGGCTGTAACGGATGCCCCCTGGGCCCCCGCTGCTGGCGCGGTAGGCAGAGGAGGGGCGCTGGGGTAGCTCATCCTTCAGTAGGCCCGACTCCATAACCCCTCCTCGGCCACCGTGCTGACAGAGGGCCCCAGAACTGAGGCTGGCCTGGACCTGGGGCATGGACCGTCCATCCAGGGAGGGCTGATACACCAGCCGGCTCTCCACATCCACTGAGCCCCCTTGGTAGCGACCACCCATGGAGTGTCCCATCTGGCCTCCATAACTGCTGTTGCCCATTACACTGCTGGGCTGGTTTGTGCGGACTATCTGGGCTATAGAAGGCTGGAGGCGAAGGCCTTGGGCTTGGTGGTGCTGGGAGGATAACGAGGGCTGGGAGCTCAGTTGGAAAGAACGCTGACTGCTCATCTTAGAGAGGGGAGACTTGGGTCGGCCGGGGTGCTGCTCTGTCTGGTAGCGCACAGGAGACCCAGACTGGGATCTGTACAGACAAACACTCTCTACCGGCGGACTGGCTCTGTATTGTGCAGCCCGACGTAAAGGGGAAGGCGGTGGGCTCTGGTGATCCATTCCCTGACCCCCGGTGCCCATAGGAGGCGGGCTGAAACGGTAGGATGGCTGGTGCACTGGGGAGGTGTGAGGCGGGCTATGGCGGTAGTGGGAGTTTTGATGCGTTGGGGATAAAGAAGGCGACGTTGACTGGTATGTCCCGCGGGTTGGGGAGGACATGGAGGACGAGGTGGGGTGATACTCGTAGGGCTGGCCCATGGGTGAGCCTCCAGTTAAATAGATCTGATCTGGATGTGTGGGGGAGAGAGGTGGGCTATGAATGATGGGAAGGCTGGAGGGGTTGACTAGGGAATCGGGCGGAGGCAGACCCATCGACATGGCCTCCAGCTCCTGCTCCAGGTAGTCCTCATCCTCAAACAGGTCCTGGACGGGCTCCATGTCCTCCAGGCGGGGCTCTGGGGGAGGGGGGAGAGGCATGGAGAGGGACAGTGACTCCTCCTCTTCCGGGGGAGGCGTAGGAGGCGGGGAGGGAGGAGGCTCTAGTTCCAGGTCTTGCTGCTGGTGCTCCTCCTGGCTGAGCATGTGAAACTCCTCCTCCACCCTCTGGAGCAGCCGCTGGATCTCTCGGTTGTTGGGGCACTGCTTTATGGCTTCATTCAAGTCCTCTAAGGCTTCAGGAAATTGTCTGGAAAGAGAACGAGATAGATAAATATCGGAAAACTGAACTTTACTTTCGGGAGAAAATCATTCACAATCAGTCATTGTCGTAAAATGTATAACAATTGACAAAATGTGGAAGAAATCTCTGATTAAGAGAGTAAGAGTCAGAATGTGATTCATTACAATTACAAGTATTTACTCTGTGTGGCGGTGTGAGGGTGTGTACCTGCTGCTACGCTTGGCTCGGGCCCTGGCGTAATAAGCTTCGTAAGATTTTGGTTTCAGTTCAAGTGCCTTCGTCGCAAATTCCTCAGCCATCCCAAAGTCCTGGAGAGATTGAACAAAGCAGAACTAGATGGAACAATACCCACATAGGAAAAAGTGGGCGACACCATTATCCGCACTTTCTTCCAAAATGATGATCTAAAACTTAGATTGGTTGTTGCACTTCTGTCGACTTACGTTCATTTTCCTCCGACATCGGGACAGGTTGAGGAAGATCGATACTTTGAGTTCCCTGAATGTCTTGAGGTCCTCGCTGAAGCCTTCGCGTGGAAACTTTTTGAGGGCATACTGATAACGCTGCGCCGCCTCCTTCACCTTCCCCTTCTGTCGGACAAACAGAAAGAAAACCCGGTCGTCCTTCGTTCACCATGAGATCTTTGAGATTCACATTTAAAGGATATATATTGTATGACAGATTATCTGTAATTCACACTCTGAAATCTGACCTTGTAGAAGCCGTCCCCCTCCTCGATGAGTTTGCTGAGTAAGATGATCATGATGTCGGGTTTGGAGGTGGCCATGGCCCATGTGGCTGGACCTGAACACAGGGAGGAGCAGATGGAAAAGAAAACCACAGTAAGACAGACTCGACAGCCATCAGCAGAAGAGGAGGGAGGAAGGGAGGAAGGAAGGAAGGAAGGAGCGACTGGGAGTCACACTACACACAACATTAATATCAGGGATGAGTACAACAGCCAAAATGATTAATGGATGAGAAAAGACAGGCAAAGATTACAAAAAAATCTGCGGTGAAGTCCCGAGAACACTGTGACCTCGCTGTAGGACGTCCGACCTGGGCCAAAGAGTATTTGCTGATAACTATGAGCCTTTTTAAATTCTGCTGGGAGTCGCAGGGAGCTGGAAGTTTGTCTGACTAAAGTGCAGAATGAGCACGGTTTAAATTTTTCTAGCGATTATCTGCAAATAGGTTTTGGCCCAGGTAAACCCACTGTGGATGTACAATACAAAAATAATTCACAACAAATCACACGGTCATGTCTTTCAGTTGAGACACATTTCTTTTGTCTTGTCAAGAAGTGCAGATGTAACTACCTCCACCAAGGAGGTTTGTTTTCCTCTGCGTTTGTACGTCTGCACGGATTAACATTAAATTTGGTGGAAGGATGGGCTACAGGTCAGGAAAGATCTGGATCATGAGGCAGATCCAGGAATTTCTTTCAAATTTTTTATTTATGAAATCCAACATGTTTAGGGGACTGATATTTATTTATTTAGTTCAGATCCAAATCAGGATCTATTGAATTTAAACGAGGTTTCATGGGGGACAAATGGGCCTTGGCGGAGGTATTCTAGTTCTTTGTGCTACTGATTAATTCAGTAACAGCAGAAAAAGCAGAAGAACACTGATGTCCCAATAAAAAAACTGGAGCTGCATATTTCTTCACACTTCATCACCGCACAGTGTTTCATGACTGAGAATCAAACACAATCCCTTGACTGGAACTGATGTGCATGTTCTGTAACTGAGCGACAGCAATCCTTAACACATGTACACACACCACAGAGATGGAAGAGGAGAGGGGATCTTGCACAAGGGGGACACGGGGGCAGGTACAATAAACAAGAGAGGCAAGCAGGAGGGGATATAACGGAGCTCTGCAGGCGTTAGCTGTCCTCTGAGCTGGTGGAGGTGGTGGAGGTGCAGGAATGCTGCTGACTGGCCTAGCTGAGACGAATCGAAGATGAGCGATGCACAGTACAGTGGTGTATCACCCCCGGTCTGTGGTGGTACAAAGGAATTAACAAATACATGCACTTCCGCTAAATCACGACCCACGCAAGTGTTACTGAGGGCTTTCCAGCATGCATCTGTGGGATGGGAGGTCAACACCTTGGTAGGACGTCACAGGTTGGAGGCCGGGCATGCTGTCATGGACCATTTGAATGTTAGCGTCTACCTCTAGGCAATCCCCGACTGCATCACTGTCAGTGCTAATACCTTTGCGTGTTATTATTTGTCAGTTTGAGATGGTTTTGGTAGCTAAGCTCGCCTGCCGACACTTAGGACGACACAGACAACACAGAGAGAGGAGATAGAGCTGTCAAAATGCCTGGTGGGGTGAGAAGTCGACAGCCTTGGCTTTACCTCGGGGCCGACTGGGCAGCGTCTGACATCCTGGGGCCGGAGAGAGAGAGGCGAGGGATGGGGGGGCAAAAGAGAGAGAGAGAGAGAGAGAGAGAGAGAGAGAGAGGGTGGGGGGAGGTCATGAGCGAGGGAGAAGAGTGTGAGAGGGAGGGCGACAGAATTTCCAGAGAAAACAGGGGTGTGGGAGTGCGTAGGAGCGAGAGGAAAGAAAGAAAGACAGAGAGAGAGAGAGAGAGAGAGAGAGAGACAGAAACAGCAGGTGGGTGAGAGAGGTGATGGTGGGTGGTGGTGGTGGAGGAGGAAAAGTGAGAAAAGGAACACAAAAAAGCAGCAGTGAGAAGCGGAGATAAGTGCTTCAGCAAAAAATAAAAAAAAGGGAAACATTCAAAAGAAACACCACAAGCGCTAATAACAACCTGTCTCTGAGCAACCGCAGAGGAGGAGAGGAGAGGAGAGGGAGGAAAAACTGGGAGATATCATAAGCGATAAGAGACAAACATGACAGAGAGAGAGAAAGAGAGAGACGCAGAAAAACAACAGTGGTACAAGAAAAACGGAAAAAAAAAACACATCAGAGCCATAAATAGCTGAGGAGAAGCAGCATGATGCGGCAGCGTGGGGGGGAGGGATGACATACGTACAGTAGCAGGAAGTGGTTTAAGCTACATGGAGACACAATCCTGAATCCATGGCTCACTGCAGTAAAACGCCACAGTGCTCGATAATAACCAGCGGGAGGCGAGAACTAAAAACAGGGAGCGTGTTCCATCACTGGATTCTCCCTCATGCAGCTCATGCTTTAGCTCCAGTGCGTGTTCCTTTCGAGCAGATCTCAACTTGTCATTTCACGGCAGGCAAATGACCTTTTTATTACGATGCTGCAGGTGCAAGAGATCCTCTGGGCGCTAAATGTATTCGGTCCGCCAACGCAGCTCTTACCTATCTTGGCTCCTTTCTTGAGCAGGGCGACCACCACCGACGTGTTCCTGCAGCCCACCGCCCTGTCGAGGGGACGCATCCCGCTGTAGTCTACGTGCTCTATCATCGCCCCGTGGTCGACCAAGAACTGGACCTGACCAAGAGAAATGTTGTGAGAAAAACAGTGCGTCAAACATGTATCTGGACATTAAACGAGCTATTTTCCCTCAAATAATACAAAATAAATCCCTTAAGAGATCAGAGGACCCCTGGCCACCTACCACTTCAGAGTCGCCATAGAAAGCCGCCAGGTCGAGGGGCGTGCGTCCGTTCTTGTCTGCGTGGTCGGTGGCGGCTCCGTTCTCCACCAGGCAGCGGACGACGGGTAAGTGGCCCTTCAGACACGCCCAGCTCAGAGCGGTCAAACCCTCCTTATCCATCAGAGACAGAGAAGCTCCTGTAGAAAGACAACGTCTCTTGTATATATTACATCACATTTACACACTTCCTTAATGAATTGAACATTAGATTACTACAGACACAACCCTCCTACCACCATTTAATCACACTTGTGTTTACAAATGATTCAAACTTCTTATTCTTTTAAAGATGATTTACCTTGAGCTAGTAAAAACTCCACAGTTCCCAGGTGTCCCTCTGAGGCGGCCATCATCAGAGGGCTTCGGCCCTGCTTGTCCGCCAGGTTGACATCTGCGCCGTGTGTGAGGAGGAGGTCCACGATCTAAAATCACGGGAATACAATCAAAAGAAAACGGAAATCAAAAAAAAAATCTTGGTCTCTAGGATGTAGTTGCGACTTCTTTTGGAATAATCAAAGTTCAGTATTGATGAACTCTTTTAGAGCGTGTTCTCCAGGATGAAGGGAAGAGGACGAACCTGCCAATGTCCCTGACGAACGGCACTGAACAGCGGGACGATGCCTCGTCTGTTGGGCTGGGCCACGGCTGCACCCTGTTCCAGTAACAGCCGACAAACCTCCAGCTTCCCCCGACCAGAGGCTGCAGTCAGAGCTGGACACACACACACACACACACACACACACACACACACACACACACACACACACACAATAAGAGAAGGTAAGTATGGTCAACATGTTGAGGAGAAATTAGATTTTTTAAGGGAAGGGGAGGAGAAGAGAGACAAGTGAAAGAAAAAAAGAGGGAGAGAAGAGAAGTAACTAGGAGGAGAGGAGACCACTTGAGACGTTTTGGGAGCAGAGGCCTTTAAACAGACATCTTCTCAACTGTTCTGATTATAATGTGAATAATTAAAGCAGAGTGAATGTATGTTTTATAATCAGAGGCAGCGTGACCCTGGTCAACCCGCTACATTACCCACAGTTCACAGTGAGCAGTACATACATATATATACATATACTCCCTCGGGCTGCTGTACAGAACACTGTTTTCAGTTGACCTACACAACAACGCACGGATGAAACAAAAAAAACTATCCTGTGATCCCTGCTGAACAAGGAGGTGACGTCTGAATGAGAACACGTCCCCGCTCCTCCTGGCAGCGAGGAGCAGTCGCTCCGACTCATCCGCGGGGGGGGGGGTGACGCTCGCAATGAGGTTTTCATCGCTTCAGGTTACGACGGTACATTATATTTCTCAACACCCTTCCACAGTGCAATCAGACTCGTCATATCTAAGCACCCTCGAGCACACTCATCCATCCCCACCCCATCACCCCCTCCCCCTCCTCCTCCTCTGCGTGAGCCGAGCCCCCTCTCTGCTCCGATGACACCACTGCACTGCCAGCAGCATCTGACGCAGCAGCAGACACACACACAAACACACACTCACACACACACATGATCCCTCACATCCGCACTGCAGCGCGCACACACAACGCTCCACAGATGCTTTACAAATACACACTATCTACAATATGTTTGAAGATTTCACAACTACACAACGCGTTAGCCATTCACAGTCGTGCGTCTGTATTGATTTCAGGGTGTTATCGGTGTCTGGCTGCAGCAGGTATACACACCTGTCTCCCCCCACAGGGTGTCGAAGTTATTGATCTGAGCCCGCTCCACCTCCTCTTCGTCTTTCTCTGGCAGGTCCAGCAGGTAGGACACGATCTGATGGGGGGACAAGAGTCGATGTGACACAGATTAACGTCCAAGTTTACTTAAAGAACAGAGAGATGAAGATTTTTAATAAGAATAAAGGGACAGATATAAAACCACTGATTGAAACCCTGATTATTTTCATTCATCATCACCACCATCACCTCACCCCCCCGTACCTCTGTGTATCCCATGCTGGCTGCAGCGATGAGCGCCTGCTGCACCGCGTGGCTCTTGGTCAACGCCGCCTGTTGTTGTGTCTGTGGTGACTGTTGTTGCTGTTGCGGCCCCATGCTCCAGTCGCTCTGGATGAGGAACTTCACCACCTCCATGTGGCCCCTCAGCGCCGCATGAACCAGGGCGCACTGGCCGTTCTTATCCAAGTGGTCTACCTGTTAACGGGACAGGGATTCGATCAGGCACACGAGTGAAGCACATGAGGCGTGCGCTGGCGTCATCTGTTGCGCTTTCATACCTTTGCTCTCCTGCGGCAAAGAGCAGTCACGATGGACATGTGTCCCCCGGCGGCGGCGTAGCCCAGCGGCGTCAGACCACTTTCAGACGTGGCGTCGACAGAGGCGCCGAACTCGAGCAGCAGAGCCACCATGTCCATGTACCCCAGGTGGGAGTGGACACACAGGACGGGGGCGTTGTTCAGCACCTCCGTACGATAGTTCACATTGCCACCGCCCATCATCAGTAACCGGCTCACCTGGACAGAGAGGAAACAGATGAAGTAACACGGCGGTGTGAGGATTCAAACTTCCTCCTGAGAGAGGTGGACGCCCAGAACAACTCCTCTCTGCCATGTTACAGCCTGTACCTTGATGTTGGGGGTGTAGAGGTTTCGGAGTGAAGAAAGTGCAGCTGAAAGGCCCTCGGAGCTGTAGGATACCCACAGGCCTTGCAAGATAGATGAGGAAACCCCAACTTTCTTGCTGAGACCCTTGATCAAAGAGATGGAGAGTATGCATTCATTACTATGGTTCCAAACCACCGCTGCTGTGCAGGTGTAGTGCAGATATAGGTGGAGGCTCGTATAGTTCACCTTGAAGATATGTGCTTTGAGGATGTGATGGCCCTGTTCAATAGTCTGCTGTCTATTCAGCTTGTTCTCCTGCCGAGAAAACCAGAAGGCCAGAAGGGTGTGACCGCTCCTGCAGAGACGACAAGCACACAACGATTCAGTTCTCCAGAAATATAAAATATAATATATCATATCATATCATAAAGTCAAAAAATAAAACAATTTCTTTATCATTAAGATCCCATAAATCTCTCTTCATGAATAACCTCCCTGTGGTTGCAGCCCTCCGCCTTTTACTGATGTTTACATACATTTTTTTACAGCACAAATGAGTCTAACTGAACATTTGCAGCAATTTTGAAAGGATTCTCTTGAGGCGTTCATATAACCTGCAGGATCATTTGAACTTAGAAAAACAGGGCATTTTGTTCTTGTTTTTTATGGTCCCTCTTCTCTCTGTCCCACCCCGACGTCCTCTTTCCACCCTGGGTAATTATAAACTCCTTATACACTCCTATTCACTTTCAGCATCACAGGAAATAATCCACCGTGTCTCCTGTCCGTCCTCACCTTGGATCACACAGGAACTTTGTCTTTTCTCCTTCTTCTCTCCAGATCAACCACTCCCTGAAGGATGGGTGAACGAACATCCTGGTGCCGTCCCTCCTCTTCACCAGGAAGACAGACAGGTTGTCCACACGTTGCTGGAAATCCTCCCAGTCCAGCATGCCCTGCAGCCACAGACATCGGCTCAGTGTTAATTTATAAAACATCATTGCTTTTAACACATTCATGCAGAAACCCACCAGACGAGGGTTAAAGAAAAGGTCCTGTATAATTGTTGGTACCTGCAGCGAGCCGGCGTTGATGGCCTGGTATATCTGCTCATCGTTCAGCGGATGCAGCGAGGCCACGGCCACGTTGAGCAGAGGAAGCGCCCGCTCGAACGACGACTGCGTGGGGAAGCGCATGTTGCACTGCAGCAGGTACACCTCGGCCAGGTTGACTGGAACCACCTGTGGTCAGGACGGAGACAATGTGAATCACAATGCAGATCACCGCTACACAACATGAATAATGGATTGTGTTTGTCAAGCACATCTTCATCTAGTCCTCATTGTCAGAGATGAGAGCAGAAATTCATTACTTGTTGTTTTTTTTAATAGAAGCACTTCTGAATACATGAAAAGAAATGAATCCGCAGCTGCGAGATAAAATATTTCATCATGAAATACTCACAAAAAAAAAGCAATTCAACAGCATTTATCAAAAAGGGGTTTGAGTCTGCCTGTCAGGAAGATTTGAGCTGCTACTGTTGTATGGATTCTTTTCATGACTCACATAATAATAAACTTGGAAGGGAAAGAAATACATCTAAAAATATGTGTATGTTGACATCCGTTGTGCAGAGTTGATGCGATTCGGACAGGGTGATATGTTCTTTATTAATAAACTTAATGAACAGGCACCAGGCGCTCCGCAGCAGTCTAACTTCACCGAACTTACAAACAGGTGAAAAGCAGCCAAAACTACAATTGACAGTTATTTCGTGACATCTTCACACTCATCTGTCTTTCTACATCTCTGAGCCTGTGAAAACCATCACGAACCAAACAGCGGCGCCGCACCTTATAGCTGGAGCTTTTCAGAACCAGGTAGCCCTTCTCGATGAGGTCAAAGGTGAGCTTGAGGTACAGATAGGAGCCCTGACTCAGAGCCTTGAGGTGGGCGCTGAGCTTGCCGAACGTGGTGTTGTCCATCTTGCCGTTGAGCGAGATGTTGTTCTGGATCTCTGGGCTGCTGTGGATGCGGTGCAGGATGTAGCCCTGCAGGTCCTGGTCGATGGCATCGTTTTCCTCCAGGCCGTCCAGAGAGATGCGGTGGAACGGCAGCGCGTTGGTGATCTCCTGAGGAATCACAGTCGTTTCAGTCAGGGGACTTGTTTTTGGCAAAATCATCTTAATAATAGAACAGCCTACATCCCCGCTAACACAGGTAAATGCTGTGACATGCTGTGAATAACTAGTCGAGTTCTTCCTCATGAATAAAAGATGAAGTGGAAGGAGAGAGGAGGCAGAAACCAAACCCAAAGAAAATCTGATTAAAGCCACTTCTATCTGCGTCGTCTGCGTAATGCTCACAGAGGAACGATGAAAAGGTCAGAGACAAAGAAGGCAGAAATACATTCAAGACAAATTCAATATTGTTGGCGAGAGGCCCACAGGTGATGCAAACATAACCCAGTGAAAACGCTGATGTAAAACCCTCTGTGTTGGCAGTGGAAACAATAAAAATAAAAGCTGAATTCAGAAGTAACACTGCAGAGGAGAAAGATGTGGATTTACTGTCCTCTACCTGTAACGTGGTTCTGACTGTGACCACCAGCTTTAGCCAGGGAGGGAACTTGTTGATAGTTTTGGTGAGGAATGACACGATGGTGTCTCCGTAGTCCGGTTTGTGGAACTCCGCCTCGTTCAAACCGTCGATGAGGATGATGAGGTCCTCCTCCGAGCTGATCTTCCTCTCTGAAAAAACAACAAGCGGCGTGAAAACTGAGACCGAGAACGCGGCGAACAGGAGGTATTAGACAATATGCACGAAGGAGTGGAGTCTAAACACACGTTTCTAATTGACCAAAACATCACTGGGTTTGCATTGTTAAATCAAAATGGCAGTGGACACTTCCTCTTGATTTTACCTCTGTCCTGCTCAAATTGTAAATTTTATCAGCAGATCATTTCTACAAGACTTTTCCCTTTTATTTATTCCTCATCGAAATCACGAGAGAATTGACATTTGTTCATTTATAACATGAATTGAAAGTAAAAAACTTTCACCATTCACTGATTGAAAAGTGGAGACTCTGGGAGTCAACACTATTTTCACCTGCTGCTCTCTCACCTTTGTAAAGTACGTCCAGGGGCTCGAGGACCCCCCTCCTGAAGGAAGCCAGCGGGTCCTGGACGCAGGAGCGCAGGCTCAGGATGCTCTGGAGGTGCGGCTCCCTCAGCAGCTGCTCCCTGTAGGCGACGAGGTGCGGCGAGCGACAAAGCAGAGCCGCCACATTGTGCACAAACTCCGGCACCAAGCAGGTATAGGCGTTATCCGCCTGGCAGTAGTGATACGCCACCACCTGGGGGCGACAGAGAGTTGGGAGAAGATGATAAACCAGCAGACAAGTGTAAAAGTGTGAGTTCGTTCCCTTCTGGTGAATCCTCACCTCAACCAACCTTTGAATATTGCAGAACAGATTGATATCAGTGTCATGGAGCACAGGACTCGGAGGACACGGTTTTTAAAAACAAGTCTTATTTCTCAGGGCTCTGCCGGTGCAAAGCCAGTTTTCTACAACTCATGTGGGATTGACTCAACTTCATGGTGGATGATTGCAGTATAATGAAACTTAATACTTCTCGTTTCGCTGCACGGTTTCAGACATTAATAATTCATGGCTTCCGGCTGGAGTTAGCTCATGCATGCTCATGTGTGAGATGTCTGTGGCAAGAAGGAGTCAAGTGTTAAACTGTCGTAATCACAGCCATGTACTTAAATTAATGTTTAAATGAATGAAAGGTTGTCAGAGGAAGGACGTGTGGAAAATAGGAGCGGCCCAGCGGTTGTTCGGAGCAGTTCGCCACCGAACACCAGCAGCAGGTGTGACCGAGAGCTCCGAGGGACTGAGAGATCACAGACAGTTTGATTTTTCGGAGGCGGTGGCAGTGATCAGAGGGCAGCGAGAAAAAAAAAGGCTAATCAAAAGGAAATGCTAATTTTTGGCCACAATGGAAAAAAGGGCTTTAAAACAAAAGGGGTGAAAAAGGGAGTGAGCTCAATTATTAATGCACAGAGTTAACAAGATCTAATAGCTTGGCTGGGAAATGGCTTTCTGCAGGTATAAATATTTCATAAGGCTCCCTGGCAAAGTTGTTTTTTCTCTTTTAAACACATCTGCATAATGCATCAGGCTGGGAGTGGGGATGCAGATGGCCGAGCAGCAGGGAGGGGGGGGGGCCGAGGCGCAACAGCAGATGAGAGGAAGAGCGGGAAAAACAGACAGTTTCACACATCTTATAGGTTCACGTTCTGCGCAGGTCACGAGACGCTACGTAGCCGGGGCACAAGAGAGAAAAGTGCTCATTTATCGTGACTTATTTTCAAGTTCCGAGTCTGT